TCTATGGAGGTTTTCATTGCTAATGCTTTCATTTGACCGTTTCAAAAGCGATGACTGAGCAGCGTTGCTCAAAAGCGGGCTCAAAACATTCAAATTCAAATTTCAAATTCAAACTCATTTATTCAGTCTAGGCTGTTACAAGCTCTTGTGAAAGTCAAACGCTACGCCATCGGTTCGTAAATCTACGGCGGGAGACCTTGTACTGAGAAGAACCGGCAAGAAACTCAGCAAGGGCTATTTTTTTCTCCCTGTTTTGTTTCACACAGTGTCGTCAATTGAAAGATGACATCAAAAATTGAATACATGTGTTGATGTCAACTTCCATCACATTAATATTATTAATTAACAAAAGTTAAGTATAACTAGGTACTATTTTTAAATTTAGAAGTGGCGATTAAACAATTTTCAACCAAATTAGCAAAGTAAAAAGACAGTCTATTATGTTAAGCCCAAGGTGACTTATCATTTATGAAATCTTTTACAGTATAGTAACCTTTCTTAAGGAGACATGTTTTTATACACACTTTAAACTTATTAAAAGGTAAATTAATTATTTCTTTTGGTATTTTATTATAGTAACATATACCTTGACCCACAAATGAACCAAGAACCTTTTGGAGTCTCAATGGTGGCAATTTGAGTTTATCTTTATTTCTGGTATTGAAATTATGTACATCATCGCGCCTCGTATATAAATTTATGTTCTGACGCACAAACAATATACAATTGTAAATGTATTGAGAGGCAACAGTCATTATACCTATTTCTTTAAATTTATCCCTAAGAGAAGTTCGAGATCCCAAGCGGTAAATGGCTCTTATAGCTCGTTTTTGAAGAATAAAAACTGTTTCAATGTCTGCGGCCGTGCCCCATAATAGAATGCCATATGACATAATGCTGTGAAAGTAGCTGAAGTATATTGTCCTAGCAGTGTCGACATCTGTAAGCCGTCTTATTTTATAAATTGCATAAGCAGCAGAACTTAGTTTACCGGCTAGTGTTGTAATGTGAGGGTTCCATTGAAGTTTGTGGTCTAGTGTTACGCCTAAGAAAACGGTTGTATCGACTAAAATTAGTTTTTCACCATTTAGAATTATATCCCCCATTTCAACATGCTTTACATTCGGCAAAGTAAATTTCACACATTTAGTTTTGCTCAAAAATTTTCTACAAAGAAAGGTAAATCATTAATGTAAATTAAAAAAAGAAATGGACCTAAAATTGAACCCTGAGGAACGCCTATTTTCACATGAGATCCGGCTGATTTTGTACCGTTAATATCAACTATTTGTGTCCTTTCTGTTAAATATGATTGCACTAATTTTTGTGCGGAATCTTTTATGCCGTAATGATTTAATTTCCGTAACAAAGTTTGATGATTAACGCAATCAAACGCTTTAGATAAATCGCAGAAAACCCCAAGAGCATTCTGCGACTTTTCCCAAGCATTAAATATATATTTTAGCATAGTGGCCCCAGCATCAATCGTGGAACGGTTTTTAGTGAAACCGTACTGCGCTCTGTGTAAAAGTTTATTAATGTTAAAATGAGTCAACAATTGTTCTAACATTATTTTTTCAAAGATTTTACTCAATGCTGGTAATATAGATATTGGCCTATAGTTGCTAGGATCTTTACAATTTCCAGACTTAAATAAAGGTATGATTTTACTGAATTTCATAAGATCAGGGAATACTCCCTGATCCATACATGAATTAAAAATATCAGCTAGGTAAGGGGCTATAGAATGTATAATATTATTTATGACTTTGACAGATATACCCCATAAATCAGATGCATTTTTCATTTTTAATGAATGGAAAACTTTAATTATTTTAAAAGAACTAACGTGCTTGAAATTAAATAATAAACCACACGGAGGTACATATTTTTGTAACAGAGCTGTAGCAGTATCAGACGATGAGTCCAAGTTGGAAGTAGTTTCTAATGGTATATTCATAAAAAAATTATCGAAAATATCTGCGACTTCATGTTTCGATTTTACGAGATTATTATTGATTTTAAGAACCATGCTATTTTCACGAGGCTTACACTTGCCACTTTCGCGCTTAATGATATCCCAAGTGGTCTTTATTTTATTACTAGATTTTTTAATTTTATCCCTAATAAAATTGGACTTTGCAGTATTACATATGCTTTTAAACAATTTGGAATATTTTCTAACATAGTTAATAAACTCAGGATCCTGGTTATATTCTTTGATTCTATAAAGCTCATACAGCCTTGTTCTACTCTTATATATACCACTTGTCGCCCAGTCACAGAACTGCAACTTCTGTGTACATTTAATGGTTTTCATTCTGAACGTATTTTGAAATTCATTATTTATTAAATTAAAAAGATTTTTGTACAAAATATCCGGATCATCATGCGTCCAAGGCATTAAAGGAAGTTTATCGTTAATGTTATTTTTAAAATTATTAACGCGCTCATTTGTTATAGGTCTACACTCTATTATGTTCGGCTCAGTACTGACATTGAAACTATATGTTGTCTTTAAACCGAGATGATCGGAAGTAATATCACTAAAGACTGACCCTTCAATTGCATCCAATTCAGAAAAAAAGTTGTCTAAACAAGTGGCTGAGTGAGATGTTACTCTGGTTGGTTCAGTAAACTGGAAATTTAAATTAAAACATTTAAACAAAGTAATTAACCGAAGACTCAAAGAGCTATTTTCAAGTAGATTGACATTAAAATCACCACATACTATTACAGATTTATTTTTTAATTTATTGAGAGAGTCCTCCATGACTGATTCAAATGTATCAAAGTTTCCTGAGGGGGGCCGGTATACACATACTATATAAAAATTTACTAACTCTACACACGACAGCTCAACATGGCGTTCCACTGAAAGGCTTACAATGTCCTTTCTTTCCTTACATTTTACATGATGTTTTACAAAAATTAAAGACCCTCCATGAATAGCTGTCCTGCGTACAAATGCACTGGAGAGTTGAAAATTGTTTAAATAAAATGACATTTCATGTTGTTGCAGCCAGTGTTCAGTTATGCACATGATATGAGTTTCATGACTTTTAGCTAATAATTCTAACTCTAAGTCTTTGCCGGCCAAGCCCTGGATATTTTGGTGAATAATATTGACATAATGGGGCTTAGCTTTTGTCATACGCTTCAGTTTAAATCTAAAGAGTTTATTGTAGAACTACAATTTATCAAAAGATTTGAATTAGTACAAGTACTAATGTCAGTTTTAAAAGAAGTAATTACAATTTGTAAATTAAAAGCTAACAAATTAGCTAATTGTGTCCGAGATTTCTTTGAAAGATACATAGTATCTGAAGTCAGTTTAAAATTACTAATAAATTTATTAATGTCAAAAAACAAAATGACGTCACTATGACGATTAATCAAATTATACAAGTATGTATTTAAATCAAAGATGCGCTTATTTTCATCCCACGTCAAATTTTTAGCATAAGGGAAAGCGCTGATTATTAATTTGCAGTTAGTTTCTCCTTGTAACTTTAATAATACATTAAAACTATTCATTATGTCCCTTTTTCTAATGTCAGAGCTGTCACCACATAAAATGATTAAATTGGTAAAACTATCTACTTTATGCATTGTAACATTATTTACAATTTCTTTAAATGATTGCCCAGGAAAGCATAAATTGTAAAATTTATTATTATATTTATTACTCATAATAGATGAAAGTCCCTGACCTAATTTGTCAGAAAGCATGACAGTCTTTGGTGAATTAAGGTTCTGTGAAAGCGCTGGTTCAAACAATTCGAGTGTTCGTTGCCTTTTCGTAGAATGAATAAGCGATCTATCTTGCTTTATAATGTTATAATGATAATGTTTAGAAAGGGGTGTGTGTTTACTTTAGCTAACGGAACCGGCGGCAGTGACTCGGTGCGGAAATTTGATTGTCAATCTAAGTGGTCTAATATCTACATCCAGTTAAGAACACGACGTATTAAAACTTACCTCACCAGTTAGTAACGCTATTGTTACCATGTACCTTGTTTGTTATGAGTCTCGGATATTTCGGCACTGTTGCAAGCGCCATGATCACGGAGTAACTGGTGAGGTAAGTTACTCCGTGATCATGGCGCTTGCAACTGTGCCGAAATATCGGAGACTCATAAAAAACAAGATACATGGTAACAATCCCGTTAATAGTTATAAATATAGTTAGATATACCATTGAACCACCCAAAAATCTTCTGGAGTACAATGATACAACGAAAGAGTTCAAAGCTAACATGTTTACATAATTATCTTTTTACTGTAGCTAAAACAATATTGAAGTAAGCTTGCTTCGACTAGAGTGAGTTAAGATCTAAGTTTGGAATCATTTTTATTATATTCCTTAGAATAATAGGCAGCTCTACTAAAGAGGTAAAACGAACAATCAATCATATTCAATCTAGAATAAATAGGTTTCCTGTAGTGCCTTAGTATTCGGACGCAATCTCTCAACATTGCAGAAAATACACGTATTTATACTTACATTTATTTATATATTTACTTACACGTATTTATATTTATTATACCTACTTATTTTACTGGAACCCTTAATTACTAGCGCTCTTTATATAGAAAGACCTTATTTATGCATTCATTAACTTGTCTGTATTCAAAGCATCGAAAATTATTTTCTAATCCAAGTTTGCTATTCCAAATCCATTAAAATATTGAACCCCGGATCCCAGGAAACTAGTGTTATATTTCGAGCTGAATTGAAAATGTAAATAAATGTAAAATTTTAATAAGCTATTTAAATTGCTTGGTCAATGATGTTAAAATAAATTAATAGTGCCAGACATCTTCAACCGCCAGTATTTATTACAAGACGCTTTGAACATCAAAATAAAAACGTGTGTTATTGTGATAATGATAGGAATCCGTTGTGGACTGAGGAAATTGAATAAAAGCAATTATCACGTACCTCCTATCCTACGGTTATCTAAAGCATTTTTGAAGCCTTCTGATGGTGCTGTTTCTTAAATGACACTCACCTGAAACAAACAGAAAATAAAGCATTAAATACCGTGTCTGAATTCAGTTTCCAAAACCTCAACAATATGGATAGTCTTCTATTGATCTTCAATATGGAGACCACAGTAAAATGATACCAACTTTTGGGGATGTTATGTTTCTGTCGGTGAATACAGGTCGCGGCACGTAACTCTAAAGCTGAATAAAACGCGGAGGGGATATCTGCGGATGGGTACGACTGGAGAGCCAATCGGCGCAAAGCACGTCCACCCGCGCACCTCGTTTTCCCCCAACCATCTTAATTTTTACTTCTGCGCAATAACGGTCAGCGCTAGAGTTTCGTGCCGCGATTTATAATGCTGTGAATGTTACAGGGCTCCACGGGTTCGCGGAGTAGGGATATTTTTGATATCGCAAGCTAGTATCGTAAGTCTATAGGCTATGGTGGCCGCTTACCATCAAGCGGACCATATGCTTGTTTGCCACCTTTATTAAAACATAAAAAATATGGTTCAAATAAAAACTTGTCACAGAAAAATTATGCTGAAAGGACAATGGGCAAAAATGTATGAACGCTGCACCCACGTCCGCCACGTTTTAAACTACATTTGTTTGAAAGGTATTATAGTCATGTACCATCTGTGCCAAAGCGCATCAAATTCCATCCCGGGGTCTTTAGTTATTTTAAAATAAATAGGTACAAGTACTATAACGAACGCATATTAATGAAACAAAGGGAATTAATTTAGTTAGATAGTTCGACTCTACATAGGGGGCTTTGGTATTATGGGAGTACTTCACAAGGTGCAAGGGTGCTTATGTTATTCTGCTGCGCTAGAGTAAATCCAACAATCCCTGCATGGGTTGGGGTTTTTTCAAACATTCTGTTCGTTATAGTAAATTGTCTTCTATGTAAAACGGAGCGCCCACAAATCACACAAACTTGTTCACGCTTCGGAGAAAACATGATTCCAATTCATCCATACTAATTGACAAACCGAAAATCGTGTTCCAATGTCCAAAGCGTGTTAGATAAAAATCAATCAAGTGACAGGGAGCGCACAATCACAACGAAGTAAGACGTGTCGACTATTTGCAACTGCAAGTCCTTCAACCCCCATAAATCGATTTGAGTAGCCACAGTAAGTTCAAGCGCAGGATAGTCGGCAGTCTTTATCGTAAATCTGGTTGTATAGTACGATATGGCATATTATTATGGTTACTAATAATATAAAATTAAGGTACTATAAAATGAATTTATTCAGCTAGTTAAATATGCCTGTGTCATATCTTTTAACTACCAGGATATTTATTTACGGTGTCATATCTTTCGACTACCGAGATATTTTTTTCAATGTCATATTAAAAAAGGCTATTTTTTCGTAGATCTATCGATTCATACTAATTACATTATTGGCGGAGCTGGGTGTGTTTTGCCCATTGTCCTTTATATTATGCAGATGAGAATAAGAACGGTAGATCTTGAGAAAAAAATAATACCTTCTCATCTGATTAATAGTCTTTGGGATTTTTCCTCCGGTGGTATTGCATATTTAAGAGTCTTACAGAAATGAATTTAAAAAAAAACTAGTTATATGTATTTATTATAATTATAATGTCCAGACTGGAAAGACAAGGATGCCTCCGGTCGACAGGTATTTCTCTCTAAAAATCTCTGTCTTACAACCTGGGATCCTTTAAAAGAGGCGTGAAGAAGCAACATGCAGGCCGGCAGAACTGCTGTATCAGCTATCTTCGCGTCTGAACTTCACCGTCACTTAACATCAGGTGGGGTGGAGTCATTCGTCGGACTAATATATAAAAAAAGCTCACCTTTCTATAGACGTAAATCTATAGGTACATTCTTAGTTAAACGACCTTCTATAATTGGCTAGAAAGTAGTAGGTATTCTATTGCAGTAAGTATAGGTACATAAAATGTCAGTACATTTGACTGAAAAGGTAGTTCTATTATCAGCTTCCAAAATTACTAAAATACATTAGAAAAACCCTTTATTTCAAAGAGTAGACATTGATTTTATTGGTAAATAATTGAAAATAAGAGTAACAGACGGCTGTCAACGAAGATAATCTAATTCCGATGACAATCCCAGCTCGCGTAATGGATAATACGTAAATTATGTAAATTATAAAATCACCGGAGGTAGGTGGAATATCAATGAAGCGAAAAAGCGTCGGTTTACAACATTAAAAATATCCCAAACACGTTCAATTCGACAAATCGGAAGCTGTAACTTTTAATGTATACGAAATGTCGAAAAGGATTTTGCACGTGTCCTACTTTTTGCGGCGGTTTTTGTCACTTAAAACAGATGATTTTCTAAATAATCCGCTCATTTGTTCTTCAATGAGGATAATTGACTCAGATATTCACAATAAATGTTTCGTTTACGTTGTTTGAACAACGCAGTGTATAAGTATCAGTGTATATTAGTCACTGGTGAAAGAAACAGTAAGCTACCTTTTTAGGTTCTACCAAATGGGGCGTCAATATGGTAACAAGTTGTAGTCAATCATTTTTGAATCAATTCATGTACAAGTAGCTTATACGCACGCCGAATCCAGTTGTTTAAATGCTGGATATTTTTAACTTTCTAATATAGTGTCTAAATCGATAAGATAGCTTATAAATATAACATGTTATTCGATATCTACCTACTTATTAATTAAATATGTTACTTATTTTTTTTTTTATTCCAACATTTTTGATTATTCCAACGATAAAATCTACTTGTCCCAGGTATTCTTGAAACCAGCGCAATTTCTTTTTAAATCTTTAAATAATCTCAAGATATTGTGTCGTTTAGAAATAATGAGAGAGCAGTCTAAAATTATAAAAAAATATATGAAAAACTAATAATAGTGTGTTAACTACAACTTACCTCATATGTTTTAACTGCTATACCACTATCAGTCTTTCCCACAGCCTCGCCTTTCAACATGGACTCGTCCGTCATAGTGCTCTCATCAACCAATATCTCTTTACTGTTCTTCCTCGAGTGATTGATCAAATCTGGTTTCTCTGCATTCATTAAATTGCTAGCGTTTTCATTTGTGCAATTTTCCCTTCCAGACTTCTTGTCGTCCTCCGAACGTGATTTATCGTCCGAGTGCTTCATTTTAAAACAAGATATGGATTTTTTATCTTCTTTAGCCGCATCTCTACTAACTGTGATTTCACATTTGGATTCCCTATTTCTCGTATCTGATTTCAAACGTTTTTTCTTACCATTCCATTTTTTAGTTTTAGGGGGGTTGCTTTCATCGCTGGTACCGACACTATCTGAGCAAACGGGATTCACTAGGATTTTTGTAGATTTAGCTTTCTTTTCGATTTTCCTTAGATTTAATAAACTCCCAGAGGACTGAACGAGTGACGGCGAGGACCCGAGCGATGAATTATCCTCACTTAATCTTCTTACTTGCTTAGGCAATAGTTTTAATGCCTTCATGGCATCTGTGGGGTTGTGTCTTATCTTCCCTGTGCCTAATGGTCCCATAGCGACTGGTGGCCCTCCTTTGAATAACAAAGCCGTCTCCGTAGGCTGGCACACACAAGCTAACATTTTCATATAGTCAATACTTATCACTATTATCACTCATATTTTTGGTGTTTAAATTCTTTGAATGCACTTAATATCTAGAACAAATAACAATGCCGTGTATATTGGGAATCTAGTCAGATTAAGATTATTTTTGTATATTTTACTGCTTTAAAGAGTCATAAATACTTTATTACAGGTAAATACGGAAAACTTAATTTTCAAAAGACAAAAATCATAATCGTATTCATTCTGCCTCCGAATTTCACGTCCTTCTTATAATTGTCTCATCATGGTATTTTTTGTTGGAAACATCTGATAAAACATCCACTTCTATATCACTTGTATAAATACATATCCGAGCTGCATTAATGCAGAAAGCTTAATTCGTATAAGTCTAATAGCTCCGCTTGCTTTTCAAAAGCATCTCAATAATATATAAGTCGAGTGTAATATATTATTCACACTTAGGGATTGCCATAATTTAAAGGCTTACAATCGCTATCGGAAACGGAATGGAGAAACCAGCAGTACTTCTTTAGAGTAAAGTCTACGTGATCAAAGAACTAACATCTCAATAGCTATTCGGCTAAGCTCAACTTATGACCTCAATGTGGAAGCAGCGAAACAAACTTTTGACTTTCCAATACCTGAGTATTGGCACAAAATGTTTGCGAAGCATTTGGTGCAGCCTTTTCGTATTTTAGAGGTTTCGTGGTTTGTTTACTTATCGAAGCCGGCTAAAGGTTTTATTGGGGCCAGGAAAATTTTCAGCTGCAGATGAAACTTACGAATTGTGCTATTTTTTTTATGTTATAAGGGCATACGAGCAGACGTTTTACCTGATGGTAAGTGATCACCGTCGCCCATGGACACTTGCAACACCAGGAGTATCACAAATGCGATGCCGGCCTTTAAGGAAGGAGTACGCTCTTTTTCATTTTTTTGTAAACGCTAACCCGACAATGTAAAATTTATACAGTGTTTCTTTTTAGAAATTTTTGGTATTTTACAGTTACTTTACAATTTTATTGTGTTCATTATTTTTTCTCCTTACATTAAATTTTGTGTTATTTGAAATTATTTGCAAGAGCATGCAACTAGAAAAACCTATGATATATTTGTAATTCATTCAAATGAAAATAAGTCACTAAGTTAATTAGATCGTATATTATTTTTATAGATAGGGCAAGTCGTAATATTAAACAAAATTTGTTCTCGAGTCATGGTTATTTAAATCCTTTTAAATTTAATGTTCATGCTGATTAAATAAATAAATTGGATCCCCCATCGGGATTTCAACCCAGGATCGATGGTTCAGAAGACAGCAGGAGCGTTGCCATTCCATCAACCAGTTGTCATTCTACAATAATATGGGAAAGTCAATATTTATTAAAATTGATATAAGAATATGCCTGCTGGAAGAAAATTCAATATAAAATAAGCAGTGCTCTTGTACAAATTGTTTGTTCCTGTTATTGTCTGTTTTATTGTGTGTGTACTAAATTATTAAATAGATAAAATAAATAAATAAGAAATTTATATCGAATTCGGTGCGAGGCGAAATTTAGTATTATTTTTATTTCGATATTTCCCAAAGGTTTATATGCTCAAGGGATTTTTAAATAATATAGCATAACCTTTTCTAGCGCGTTCCGCAGCGATCGTTGAATTTAAGCAACTTTCGCAGTGGTCGGTCATTGGATGGGTGACCATAATTTACTATCTCGAGCTCCTCCGTGTTTCGGAAGGCACGTTAAGCCGTTGGTCCCGGCTGCATCTGCAGTCGTTAGCACCCACCAACCCGCACTGGGCCCGCGTGGTGGGTCATGGCCCAATCTCCCTATTCCATCCATAGGGAAGCCTGTGCCCCAGCAGTGGGGACATTAATAGGCTGATGATGATGAACCTTTTCTAGGTAAGTTACATTAACTATTATTCGATAAGTATTAACAACATTCTGTACAAAACATCACCTTTAAGTTGAAATTCTTTCATTTTTCCTCGTCGACATTTACCTGGCACATCTATTCAGATAGTATCAGAATAGTGTTGCTCCGCTTCTACGGAAAGTGGTGCGGAAGCCCCACCCTGTTTCCGTACGGCGGCTATAAGGGCGCGGTCACTAGACGAGCGATAGCGGAAAACGAGAAACATTATGGACTTTAAAAAATTTTGTTTCAAAACCCTCATTTGACACCGGTAATAGGGATGATGACTAATTTTTTTTTCTTCGTTTATCAGGTAGATTATCAAAAAGTATTGGACACGTATTTTTCTTTTTTCACATAATATAAACATTGCAGATATATATTGATTGGAAAAGTCGCGTGACGTCACGTTTGAGTACACTTGTAAGTGAAAATTCACTAAAAAGTGACGTCACGAGCCCCTACTCCCAAACTTTGACGCGCTATAACTTTGTCATTTTTTGGTTGATTGCCCAAAGAAAAAATACGTGTCCATTATTTTTTGATCATCTAACTGATGGACTAAATAGAATTTCGTTTACTGTACCCCGTCATCACCCCTATTCTTTGACTGTATATAGACTGTATGTAAACACGGGAGCAATCCGGTAATACTATTACCTCTTATATTGATACTGTATTTCTTGGTATCATACTCATTTATTATGCAATAAACTTTTTTTTTGCAAAGTTGAGCGTATTCCAAAGTAAATCTTTATTTACGAACGGTCATAGTATGGTTGGCCCTAGAGAGTTATCCTTAATTATGTTTCGCTTGTATCTTTAGCATGTCGCATAAGATTTTTAATTATTAAAATATTAAAACCTTATAAACAAACAACGGTGGTTCAGCGGTAGAAGCCTTACCTACTAAGCGGGTGACCCGAGCTCAATTCCCAGTCGAGGAAGGACTTTAAATTAAAGATTTTAAGAGTTACACTTGCCTCGTGGTTTCTTAAAAACGCACCATTTTTTATACACTCGTATTAGTGCGTCGCAACCGCTACCGCGTCGCTTGACACTTTTGTTTTTTTTTTTGCAACACAACGCAAGTCGAATCGTATAAGCATACGGGAAAATTGAAGCAACGATTACTTGGTATTGAGGGCACGAATGATACATTCAAGGAAATTACTTCCAGTGACTTTCCTCGTATTAAAGGAGAAAATTTCGCTTTCATAAATAATTTTATATTTCATCAGGAATTATGTTCGTGACTTTGTCAGTTTGAAAAGTCGAACAGTCAATGAAATAACATCTTATTAATGAGAATAATTCAGGAGAGTTTGTATTACGATAACTAAATAGAGTTTTTTATACTACACAATGAAAAGTATTTACAAACAGCCATGATTTGGAAAGAAATCTCCTGTGCTCATTAAACATCTATAAGTAGTTACAAAAAAGTATTGAGAATATTACTCAAAATAATTCTGACGACGCAGCCTGAAAATGACGCGAAACGTCAAGTGACAAATCAATAACGCAATAGAGTCTGTGCGGAAAGAGAATGGGATTTAGATTGGAGGGCGCTGTAGTGCTTTACTACCGTATTAAATTTGTAAGGTTATACCCCTTTTAGACATGATTAAATACAAAAAACCGCAAGAAATCACAACAACAAACAAATCCGTATCAATACAAAACTTTGACGTTTTACAGATTGCTGGGTTTGATTGCCAAATAAAAATCTTAATGTCAGTTCCGTTTTTCGCCACGCCCATTCTCTTTCCCCACACACTCTAAATGAGTAGGATTCAGAGGCTAACCGATGTTACATGATCCTGTTTTTATAAATTTCAAATCAAAAGTCTGTGCATTCAGAATTCTTTGCACATTCAAGAATTCCAAGAATTGAAGCTTAACTTTCACATCCAATTCAAACTTAATTTTTAACTTGCAAAAAGTTCCCATTTCCTGAATTAGGCCTCGCCTCGTGCGGAATGCCTCATTTAAATGAAGTCCTTATTCCCAATTAAAGCGTTCCCGTGCCACGTGGAAAGTGTATCCAGGAACAAAACAACGGGGGAGCGTGCAAACCGTGCGTTATTATTCAAGTCAGCGCTGACGGAAAATTAAGAAAAATCCCCCGGCACAATACGTCTAGGTTGGCTAACTTTAATGAGAACGAAAACAGGTCTCTTTTTTTAATTGCGACGCGGTAAATGTGAAGAATTAAACTTGGTATGAATGGCAGTCGCGCGCAGCAGTTAATAGCCGAGTTTGACCTGCGTCTTTTGTGGAGTTTAGGTGGGCGAGGAAATAACGTTATTGTGAAACACCAGATAATTAAGATTTCCCAGAAAGTAAATACTAAATTTCAGAAGCTGCACTAGGAGAATGTCACCTCTCCTGACCTTGACTTCACTCACACAGGTGGAAAATCATTTAATGTTATTCTGAGGGAATTTATAAAAAAATGGTATCTTTAATAAGCAGTTTCCCGCATAAAAGCGCTCTATCTGAAATGAATCCCGGTAAATTTGTCTAATTCGTTATTCAAAGAGCTAGTGGATCGTGAATTTGTCGGCATATTTTATAATTACCCAACTGGAAAACTGAATGAAAACTTCCAAACAAGTGGTTATTGTATCGATGCGTAGTGGAATTTGTATTGCTTATTTAATTTTATTCAGATCAAAGGCTAAGGTAGTTTGTTATTGATTGGAACGGGAATTTCAAGGCTGCAATCAGGGTGGAGGGATGTTAAGTATCTGGGTTTTCTTAAAGAAGGGTCAGGTCAAGAGTGAGCTTAGTCAGCGGATGAAGTAAGTGAGGATAAAGTATGTGATGTGAATAAATCAAGCGCGAAATACGTAAGACAGGCACCGTAGCTTAGGGATAGCTAGCGACCGCCAGTGACTTCGTCTGTGTTTCATTTAGTTTTTGTAGAATCCATCACTCACATTTTCCGGGATTAGAAGCATTTCAACAGCCTAGGCTAAATAAATTATTTTTGAGTTTGAGTTTGATCCTTTATCTAATTCCAGCTAATAAACTACATGTGTATCTAATTTCATCCAAATCAGTTACGTCGTTGTTGCGTGATTGCGACGCCGC